ATATTAATTTAGCAATAGCAATAATTGCAGCAAATATACTCTTTATACCTACTAACTCTGATCAATACCGCACAAGTGTTCAACAGTTCATTTTCTCTGATGTTAAAAGGTTGACAGTGACCACTCTGGGAGGGCCTCTAACTGCATTCATGACTGAGGCAGGATGCAGTGCGGTGGAAGGAACCCGTCCCAGAACACACACTCCCTGATGCCTAGCACTTTGGCTTCCTGTTCCCATTCAGAACAGAATCAGTGAAGGGGACATGTGTCATTTTGGTTTGAAGTCCCCACAAACAGGATTCTTCAAATATTAAGGTATACCTATGGATTATTTAGGTCTTTAGATTTTCCCTAAATGTCTTAAAGCTAGGTGGCAGTTACTTTTTTGGGAAGAATCTAGTTAACTTTTTGTTGTGATATGTGGTAGTGAAATAGGGAAATATCAAAGAATCACTATAATTCAAATTATGCAGTTAATGATGTTTTGTGGACTATTTAAAATCTAATAAGAGAATTTAAAAAATATTGTATGGAATCATCAGAAATAGTTGTGCAATATAAATCTCACATATTCTCAGATTTATAGTTATAACTGTTTTTTATGGGTAACTTTTTTTTACATCTTCAAAAGAAACCTTAATATTGCATTTTTTAAAAAGAATGTCACTACCAAGCCTTTGGATGATTAACTACCTTATGATATTTCTTTCATCCAAGCTGGTTTATAAAGGAAAGCAAAAACAACAATAAAAGAAATGTACCAATTTATTCTCTACTAATAAAGTATTGAACATTAGTGAAAAAAGTATGAAATATTGGAATGCAACACAGCAATTCCATTACCCATTGCAGTTTGGGGTCATATACTGTATATAAAGAGTAATTACTTCATTGGTTGGAGGCCACGGTGAAGGAATATAGAATGTGATGACAGAGATTTTAAAATAAAAATTTTATCCCAAAGCATTTGTTTTTCAAAGCTTTGCCCATATTACAGATGAACCATCTTTTGGTAGCTGAGGGTAAGGGAGTGCAAGAGTAACAAAGAAAATGAAGAGAGGGTGGATTTTAAAAAAAATCTAAGCTGATAACCATACATCAGCACTTTGATTTTAAAGTATCTGCTAGGCCAGGCATGGTGGGTCATGCCTGTAATCCTAGCACTTTGGGAGTCTAAGGTGGGATGACTGCTTGAGGCTAGGAGTTCAAGACCAGTCTGGGACACATAGTGAGAACCTGTCTCTATTTTTTTTTTTTGAGTTGGATTCTCACTCTGTTGCCTGGAGTGAGTGGAGTGTAGTGGCATGATCCTGGCCACCCCAGCCTCAACCTGCTGGGCTCCAGCAATCCTTCTGCCTCAGCCTTCCAAGTAGCTAGAACTACAGTCGCGAGCTACCATGCCTGGCTAATTATTTTATTTATTGTAGAGATGAGGTCTCGCCAAGTTGCCCAGGCGGTTCAGGCAATCCACTCACCTTGACCTCCCAAAGCGTGGGATTACAGGCTGAGCCACTAAGCCCGGCCTTTTTTTTTTTTTTAATCTACTAAAAGTTTTCTTTGCAGATTCCTTAAATGATACATCCTTTATTAATAAAGATCCCATTTTAATATTTGCACCCCACAGTATTAAGTCTGGTAACTTCTAACACATCTTTCACTTTACACCTTCACATCATGTTTCTGGATTTCATTTTTTTGCTGAAGATTTTAGCTGCATGATGAAGCCTTAAGGCTAGATCATGGCATCTACAAGTTTCTAAACATTTTAAAATCTTTTCTTTTTTTTAACTCATAGGGATTCTGAGTAGGAACTGAAAACTTCAGGATAGAATAGGAAGGTGGTTATTATGAAGAGAAGAGACTCTGGATCTGACCAGACATAACCCTAATCCAAACTGTCACTTGTTCCTGAGCCTCAGTTTCCTCTTCTGTAGAGTGGAGAAAAATGCCATCGTAGGATGGTTGTGAAGATTGAAAGAATTATGTGAAAAGCACTGTATAGCACTTAACAAGCATCTATTTATATTCTACTTCTTTCTAAAAGTAACAAGATATCTCATAAAACTATAGTATTTAGATAAAATACAGGAAAACCATGCCTAATAATGCCATTCCATTTATTTCTCCTCCTTATCTTCTTTTAATAATACTGGAGAAAATTAGAGAAATATTCTGAGTAGAAAAGGAAAATATACTAATTGCAAAGCACTTGAGTATTACAGGAAGGTATGAAGAAGATAAACTTCCATTACTGGAATATTTTGGCACATTCTGTTCATCTTTTTTTTCCCCAACACAGCCATTTTAAACATGTTTAGCATTATACCACATAACACATTTACCTCCCACTTTTTTTTTCAGTTTCTATTAGATCATCAGCATTTTTGTTACCATTATATATTCTATTTTCTGATTTCATAAGTCATTAATCGTATGCACTATGCTTAATCCCAACCAACATGTTAATGATCTTTCTTTTTGTTATTATAAACAAAACTGCAATGAAAAAGATATCAGATGTTTATTGATATATTGGAAATGCCATCCCATTATGTCATATTTGTTGCAGATTTTTTCCCACTTAGCCTTTTACATTTATGATTTTTTTGACGTTTTTAATTTTATGCAACTGCTATGAGTTATTTTCCTTTGTGATTTATTTTACTGCTTATATGTTTATAAAGTTCTTTCCTATTCCAAGGTCAGTAAATAGCTTACCTATATTGCCTTTTTATAATTCAAGTTTTTGCTTTTAGCTTCTTATAATTAATATAGAAAGTATCTGGGACTGTTTATTTGAGGTAGATATTGATGTAGATTTGGGCTATCTCAAGTAGAGTTGAATTTAGTTAAGGCAAGATTTAACATAATTTCCCCCAAATATTTAACACAGTTGCCCAGTAACATATTTCCTTCTTGATTTCCTTTGTATATGGTGCCTTAGCATATACCAATCTTTCAATGTCCATATCTTACTTACTTAAAATACTCATTGCCTTCTCATGGTTTCTCTTTTGCAAAAATGTCTTGGAAGTAGTTACTCACTTATTCTTTCAAACAAATTTTAGAAGCACTGTCAAATCCTCCCCATTTTTTCCACTCCAAACATCAGAATTTGCTTGAAACTATATTAAACCGATATATTCATTTGGGAAAAAAAATCCCCTATTTTCTTCATATGGATTTTGTACAATTCTTGTTAAGGTTATATCCAGGTATTTTAAATATCTTGTTACTGTGAAATCTTTTTCATGATTTTGACCTGCAAAGACATTATTCTCAATGGACTTTCATTGTACAACCAGCATACTTTGACTCATTTGACTTATTCTGTATGTGGAAAAATATTTGTAAGAGTGCTTTGCTTCATAGACATAAATGAACTTGGCTGGTGGTTGAGAGACGAGAATACTAAGGGCCACGTTGCTATGAAAGGAACTGGACTGAGCCACTGGTTATGCATTTCACTCTAACGTGTACAACTGCATAGGTAAAATTAACATATTTTGTTTTATTACTGAAGAGAAAGATAAGAAATTAATGCACCCATGTCTGTCAAGACAAGTGAAGGGTAGCTTCTGAAGATAGTAGGAAACCCCAGTGTAACTAATTGTTCCTGAAACTGTTGTTGTGAGCTTTATGCATCTCTCCTAACTTATTGTTTGACAAGTCACTTGCCATAAGCAAGATGAATAATGTAGACAATTTCTCCAATGGGAATTAAATTTAAAATGAAGGCTCTAAGTAACTGGTATCTATACTAAAGATCAAGTTATAAAACTGGCCTCCTTGTCCTTGGTCCCAGTGTACCCTGCTGTCTTTGGAGGATGTGCGTACACCTGTCATTCACTTGCCCTCGGTTTCTGAGTTGGCAGGATGTCAGCCCTGGCCAAGTGTTCCCAGTATAAAGTGCTTTAGACTCTTCTGAAATGAAAGTCAGTATGTAAATGTGCAACATGACATTATTATTCTAGCTTCCTGGCTGCTTTCAGCAAGCACTGACTGCCACATGAGGTCTCAAGTGTTCTGGCATGGTGTGCAAGTGTTCAAAAGAAGTTAAAGTAATGAAATTGGATCTACATTTCCATAGATATTCAAGCTGGCATGGAGGAATGGAGTCATGGAATCAGGCTTGGATGGTCTCCACCAAACAGCCTAGGCAAGTGCCTGTGATGCCAGGCTACTAAGCAGAATTTTCGGTTGTGAAAGGCCACCACTATTTCTTCCTCTGGGTCTAAAATTACAAAATATGCACATTTCTCCTAGGCTTACACCACTGTCTGGGTGCTTGAGTGCTCAATCCCCACCCACCCATTACCTGGAACACACAAGCTTTGCTTAAATTCAGCACATTTTAAAATGAAGAACTAAGTACACAAAGGGGAAAAAATGTCTTGTTAGAAGCCAGTATAGTGTATGCTACTGTGTAAAGCATAGGGCTATTATTTTTAAGAGGGTGGTCAGGCTTATTGTGTATCTGACCTAGAAAGTATCCCCGCCGTGGATTTCGGCTTTCCTTGTCAGTTTTTGCAGTTTGCAGATCTTCTCAATTGCATTCAGCATCCTCAGGGATGCTGAAATATCTGGAACCATGACCAAACTTGGGTCTATATATTTTAGGGTCAAGAAACTGGGTCTGCTAAGTAGAGTCTTGGTGGGTCCGGGGCAGTGCAGAATCTGGGTTTTGTAATTCTGAGACCTCACCCCTCTCTTACACTGTTCCTCCAAATGTTTCTGCTCATAAGAGCAATAGAACCTGAGTCTCCTTCTTTGCAGTCTCCTTTCTAGTAAGCATGGGTCTGTGATGCTGGGTCTCCTTCCTTCTCATGTCTCTTGATATTGTGAAAATTTCATGGGCACCAATTATGCATTTATATACAACAAAGATGAAGTTTATTTACATTTCAAAATGCAAGAGAAGGACAGCCCAAAGAATTCAAGGACTGAAGAATACCTTTACTCATACAGAATTTCATTTTTTTGTTTTTATTGTATTTTAGGACAGTGAAAAAAAGGGATTTATAAATAAAATCTATGCCATCCAGGAGGTATGTGTCAGTGTCCAGAACATCCTAGATGAAGTGGCTTCCTTTGGCGAAAGGATAAAGAAGTGAGTAATGCTGACATGTGAGTCCTGGCCTTCTGTGGGACAGGGTGTCCATTTGTTTCTTGGAGGGTGAGATGCCACTTTCTTTTCGGCAGGGGGTACTCCTTTTGGGTGATCTATTGCTCAGTTTCATCATCATTTACTTTGTTTCTGCCAGTCTTTGGCTTTATGAAAGTTCTGTCAATTTCCTTCCTGAAATTTAGAACATATTGGTTGGAAAGAAGTCGTACTTGTAGCTTTGAAGAAATAACACCGTCCTAAATTTTAGCACATTTTTCACTGTGAAAGACTTTGTTCTTAAATGGAATATGAAATCGTGATAGAAAAAACACAAACCAAACTAAATGAGGATGTCAGGTAATCAAGACACCTGCATTTTATTACTGGTTTAGTTATATTTTCATAAAGTTATTCTAAATTTTTTAAAATGTATTATTTATGATACCCTGCAAAAACATTCTTAAATTCTTTCAAATATGTGTATTTAAATAGTTGCGATCGTAATTGTCAATGAAATAAACTAACATTTTATTTAGAAAATACAGATTAAAACAAAAACAAACAAAAATAGATGTCTTTATAATAAAAAAATCAAATACCCCTTCCTTCATTTTTCTAAAGAACTGCAGCTTCATTGAGTTTTAATGCAAAATCAAGAAACATTTTAAATCTTGTATTGTTTTATTTAAACATAATTCTAATTATTTTTTAAAAGCAACTACTTAAAAAACAAGATGGCTTTATAACAATTATTAGTTAAAAGGTATACTAGGCCCCTTACAACTGTGTGACAATTGGCCTACATGATTGCTAATGGTCTATTCAAGAGGGGGAGCTATATATCCAGATAAGCCTATATTTTCCCAGTTTCATAGACGAATATCTATTCATTATTATTCATAACCAAAAGTGTTCTGTAGTTTTAGATCTTTGGGCATACACAGAATTTGAAAGGAGTACATTTAAATGAAAGGTGTGAGTCATTCATCTGGTACCTTTCATGTGGCAAGGGATAATGCACTTTATTTTGTATAATTTTTGTTTAATACATTTCCACATATGCCTAGGTGCTGAATTGCCACTTTCTTATATTATATTAGAACAGCCTCCCTCTCACTCAGATGTTCCTCTGAGCAACATTCGGTCTCAGACTTCTGGAGACAGATTCCTACATCTTTTCTCTTTCTGTCTTCCTCTCTGTGTATTTCTATCTCTAAGAATGTTCCTTGTCCTCCACACTCTATCCACTGGAGCACAGTGTGAAGCACTAAACTTGGGGCAATTTCCTACTGGGTATACTGTGTGCTGACACCTAACAGTTACATCTCATTTATACTAGAAGGCCTTGGGTCAGGCTGGTGAATGCCTGAGAGGAAGAAGCTCCTGTGTAACTCTGGGTGGCAGGAGGCCTCAGAACAGGTGTTTGACTGGAAAACATGATGGCCAGCTGCTGGCTATGACCAGATCCTGGTAGAAGCCTAGATTTTATAGAATTTTCCAAGCTGAGGTATAGGAATATATAACATAGAAGCTAGTGAGTCTTGTAGGAGCCATCTCTTCTGTACAACAACCTTTTGGATGCTAAAAAAGAGAAATTCCTCTGGGGTCACATGGGATTAAAAGCATTATGCAGAAAGCAGATTCAGAAGCAATCTTTAAGCACAAAATGAAAAGGCTCTATACCATATCTTGTTACTAAATAATCCTTCCAGAACTTTCTTGAACTGCATCTCTTTTTTTGGAGAACATCATATTTTAGATTTAGATTCCATAATGCAGAGTGTGGAAATAGAAAAGGGCAGTCTTTTTTTTTTCTCCTAACAGCTACACTGGTGAGGATTCTTTGCCATTTAGCCTTCCAATAGGAGTAGGAGAACACAGGGAGTCCTTTAGTGGGGCTGCCCAGAAGGAAGGTTTTCTGAGTGAAGAGCCAGTGCCCTCACACACAGAGTGGTGTGATGGATGGCTCCGAGCTGAGCCACAGGGAAGCAAGCAGACCCAGAGCCTTCTGTTTTCTCCACAAGCAAGCAGGAGCAAGGGAGACACAGGTGTCCATCAAGATGGGAAGGCATGATCCTTTACCTGGTGACGGTTACAGATGCTCACTCTTGACCATGAGAGGAAAAAGACAACGGCAGAAATCACAAAAACAGGGCAACCAGATTGGCCCAACATGGGCTCTTTTACTAGAAAAAACAATTTTAGGAAATAGTTAACCTAGAGAGACACAAAATGCAAATTACACACAAAACTAAGGTACAATTCTAAGTATTATGCAGAAGCACAGCATAGAAAGAAAATCTCTTAGCAATTATCCTTTACTGAATTGAAATTGCCCTAGACAAACCCCACCCCAACGACAACAACATACAATACCAGGGAACTAGAAGAAATAAAAACACTGGCATTTATCCACATGTACAATTTCTTATTTTTTTGAAGTGTCTTTGGGCCCTTCTCACAGCCTTGTAAGAAAAAATGCCATACTTTAGACTCCTGGAATTGATTCGTTCTAATAATATCAACTTGATTTGCCTAAACATGTTAGCATTATAACCAGTCTTCCTTAATACAAGAAAAACTATCCCCATTTTATAAATGAGGAAACTGAGGGTTAGGGAGACTGACTCATCTAAAGCCACATAACAGAATCTAAACTTTGAACACAGATCTGCTAACTTCTTGGCTCTCATGCTAAAGGATCAGTCAACATGATATGTTAGTTCTTCTTTAGTGGTTGAACATTGTGGAGAGATTTCGAAGAATGCAATGGTATGCCTGGAAATGGTGTTATATTTATATACCCAACCCTGGAGGCTCCATGCAATGTTTCTATTTTCTTTATAATTTTGGCACTCTCTTAAAAACTATCAGATTAACCACAGACCTTTTACACAAAAAGCCTTAAATCATTACAATCTTTCCATGTTCCATTTCTCTGATTTTCTACATCATCTTTAAAATAATTGTGTCATTTTTTTTTACCTTCTTTGTCTTCATTTTTCTTTTTTCTTTTTTTGTCCTTCCCATCTCCTCAGTACTCTCTTTCTTGTAACTACTTCTGTTGATTGGTCCTGTTTCTGTTCTTGGTTATCAAGTCTTGTAGCCTTCACTGACCCAGCCCTATCTTTTATCAGTTACCTCTGCCAGAATTCTCTCCTTTGCCAGAAGTAACTGAGTTATTTCTTAACAACTTATGTATTTTTGGGAAGAAGGGCAATGATGACACGTGAATTTTTACAAAGCTAACTGATTTGTCCCTTTTTCCTGATTTCCATTTCCATTTAAAACAGTAGGAAGTGAGTATTCCTCTAAAGAATCCAAAAATTTAGAAGATTTACACAACCATGTAAGATTTACATCCTTCAGCAATTGCTGGTAACATTTTATTCCCAATGTAGGGAATACTGAGAATTGATAAAAGGTAGGATGGTGGGCCCACGGGTATTTCCCACTATGCAAAGTTGGAGGAAAAAAGTCTTAGCAGTAGAAAAACAAAGATCTCCATGTGCGGAGTCACCCAAGGGGTGCAACAGCTTGAGACTCTAAAGTCACCTGGGACAATCTGGTGAGATTGTTAGCAAGACCCTACCTGGGCCCTGTATTCACAGAATTGAGCAGATTATGACTAGCCTGTGCCCTCTAACAGCCTACCGCAATTGAATTCTATTCCAGAGAGAAACGCAGACTAACTAGGTCCCCAGTTAGTCAGGATCACATTTATTTTAATCTTTGTTTGAAAAAGGTGTGAAGTGTTCAAAATTGCTGATATGTTAATTTTTCATTCAGCACTTTCAACTGGACTGTCCCATTCTTAAGCTGGCTGGCCATTGTAGCCCTCTGTGTGTTCACAGTCATCCTGTACTTCATTCCACTGAGATACATTGTCCTCGTCTGGGGTAAGTAAAGCCTTTTCCCCTCCCTAAACTGTCCTAGCTACTAAGAACAAACTATGTTTAAGGGATGAGTTATACTGTCAGCAGTTCCCTCTATTTATGGTCATGGAGCTATTCCATGATGAAAAGAGACAGGTCAGTTAAAAATCACAACAGTATAAAGATTTAGGTCTACCTGCAAAATGCATTTTTCTTATCTGGCACCACAGGTTTCATCATACTATAAACATGTAGTTGTGCAGATTCTTCATATATCAAAGCGTAGCTTTGTCTAGATATCCCTCTGATTTATTTTCTCCACTTATACACAAACAGAGGCATTTTGATCCATATGGTGCATTTAGGACAATATGCTTTTTTGCTGTGGTACTTTATCTTGCAGAAGCGTATGTAAACATGGTACTATACATGGCTGCCTGTTTAAGAGGTCACCTTTAGGATTCAGGAAAAGGGTTTTTGGCATTTATAGGCTCCTTAGGAACAAAAACCCCCTGCTTTATGTGTATTAAACAAGAATGCTTCTTCAAAGCCTACTTTAAAAATGATTTTTTTTCAGCACTACTTTTTAATGCAATTATGTTGTATGTCAACAATTCCCATGCACCTAGGCTCCATTTAGGAGGTAGAGTGTTTCAGTGTTTTTCACAGTTTTTGTTTTTTTTAAAATTTTTTAAATTTCCTGACAAAATTCTTGGTTTGGAATACTCTATTTTTAGTGTGTAGGATCTACTAACATATAAAACTACATTAATAATGTGTTAACAAGACTGGGTAGGATTAGAATTCCCTACTTGCTCCTTGCCTGCATATACGTACACCCAAGGTTGCTAACTCTACTCAAAATGCCAAGAACCAAAATGGGTTAACTTTAGAAAACATGCTTATACTGAAAGCAAAAAAGATCAAAGGGCATTTACTGTTCCTTTCTCTTTAAGGATCTTAAAGAAATACATTGGAATAAAGTGAGTTAATGTCTGATGTCTCCAAGTTCTCTGGTTTTAAGATTCTTATTTTCCTATTCCTTTTGTCCCACCTCATCAAATTTTGAGCAAGTCCTCCTACCTGTTATCATCACTAACATTATCTTTACACCCTGTGTGGGAGGTAGGGGAAATGCTAATTATTTTTTTCTTCTCTAATTTCTATAATTCAAAGAAATTCAAGACCGAGTGTGGCGGCTCATACCTGTAATCCCAGCACTCTGGGAGGACAAGGCAGGAAGATTGTGTGAGACCAGCCTAGACAACATAGGGAGACCCTATCTCTACCAAAAACAAAAAAACTTTAGCTAGGCATAGTGGTACATGCCTATAGTCCCAGCTATGAGGAGGCTGAGGTGGGAGGATCACTTGAGCCCAAGAGTTCCAAGCTGCAGTGAATTGTGATCAAGCCACTGCACTCCAGCCCGGGCAACAGTGAGATCCTGGTCAAAAAACAAAACAAACTTTCAATTAAAACAGCACTTTCACTACACAAAAGAAAATGAATTTCCACTGTACTTGCATCCTATTGTATATTCAAGCCCTCGTCTTTCATTCCTTCCTGATATTTAAAGCAGATGCTGTTTTATTGAAGGAATGAAGGTAAAGTATCATGTGTGGCAGCTTATTAACTCTAACCTGTCTATGCTCAGACCTGCCTTGGGCTTGTGAAGTCATCTCTGCTGCGATAGATGGTGAGCCCCATTTTGTTTCCCTAGGTTCTCAGAAACTGGAGTCCAGGGCAGACATCTGGCTATGTAACCTGCAGTGGCCTCAGTGACTAGCTGTCTTTAAAGTAATTTTAGAGAATGCGTTTAGGCCTCTTGTTTCATCAAATAAAATAAGAACAGTCTCCCTTTAGTGGTAGGTGATTGTTGAAATACTGGCCAGAAATTTAAGACGTGAGTCTTACATGGGGAGACAGAGACCAAAATCAAGATTTCAAAAGTTTATTCTGCTCTAGTTTATGGCTCAATTTTTACCACTGTGTTGATTCCATGTAAAGCTATTTATTTTTTAAAAAACTGGTGGCAAACTTTTTCAGGTTTGAAGAAAACCAAGGCCATGTGTCTTCTAAACATTTAGCTTGCATAAGAGCAGCACTGCCTTCCCTCCAAAAAGGTGTATCTTTTGAAAGAGGGAAAATCAGTTAGTTAGACTTTGTAACAATTTCAATCCAAAATGTAGGAAAACAAGTTTCATCATAACTGAAACCTTAAAGCAAGACTTCTAAGTACTGTAACATGGAGTGGGGGAAAGCAAGATACTGTTCATTACTGCTATTTTATCTCCCAAATAGAAAGCCTTTCCTGCCTGAAGAAGCTACTAAAGTGCAAAGAGAAAGACAAAGCAGCAGTTAAGTTAGGAAGGAAGGAGAAAGAGGAGATAGGAAGGAGAGAAAGGGGGAGGGGAGGGAGGGAGCTAGCTGATGGGTTCACTCTGTCAAGGCTGAGAGGTAGCATACAAGCTAGATCTTCCAATAATTGCAGCACTTTTGCCAGAAATGTGCTTTGTACAACTCCAGACTTTGGAGGTTTCAATAATACTTTATCTTACCACTTTTTCAGGCATTAATAAATTTACAAAAAAGCTTCGGAGTCCATATGCAATTGATAACAATGAACTACTTGACTTCCTTTCCAGAGTCCCTTCAGATGTACAAGTGGTATGTAGGTTTCATTATTATTAATTTTATTATTTTAATGTAGTATGGCACTAGGTTTTACCTTTTATATACTTTTAATTTCAAAGGTTTTAGAAGAGCTGGGTAAGGAGCCTATAGCAGATTTTTTACCAATCATAAATATAGCCCACTTGGGGTGTTATCCAAGAACTTAGAGAGAAGAATGAGAGAATGGGAGCAGGCTGCATAAAGGACTTACCCGGGCTGTCAGGGAGGAATATTCTCTAAGTGAGCAGCTAGAGTTTGTGGAGGGAAGTCACCATGACCTGAGCGGAGTTCATGGGAATATTAGGTAATGAAAGCAAAATGTGCCAGTGGACATTTAAGAGAAAAACACTTATTACCAGAATTTGCATGAATGAAGTAAGTTTTAAAGAAGCTCGGACATATTTTAGAGATCACTGAGGGGAGGAAAGCCGATTGCTTTTTGAAGACTGGGGCACACATCTCAGAAATCCTTCAAGGTTAAAGTTCATTAACCATCACTATCTTCGGAGTAAAATAAGAAAGGTTTTTAATTGAAATCTTGAGGCTGGGCTGCAGTAATACCTTTTTCCTTTCTTTCAGTTGACTTTTTCATGTGATATGACAGTGGACTTGATGGAGATAAAGACTGTAGTAAATAAACAAACAATAAATTTAAGAACCATTATCCAATCCTTCAAAACAGACCAAAAAAAGATTTTGCTTTTCATGTAACGTGTTATGGACAGTAAAGCCCCCAGTCCATTACCAAAGTTCACATCAGGGCTCCATGGTGTTTCTGGCAGGTTTTCCCTCGTGATTCCTGCTCTATCATTCTATTGTTTTCAGCATCCCAGCTGCAGATCCCATCCCGCTTCTAGAGTGAGCCACTCTTTCCCCCAAGCACAGTCTCTCATTCCTTTGCTTTTCCTTTCTTTGCCAGAAAGTGGCCACCTGACCAGTCTTTCTCTGAACTATGTTTAAACAGGTGCAATACCAAGAACTGAAACCAGATCCTTCTCATAGCCCATATAAAAGGAAGAAAAACAATCTTGGCTAGCCAGCTCCCAGCACTAAGGAGACCAGCATCTGTTTGGGAAGATAAAAGAAAAAGCCTTCAGCCTCAGCAGCATTTCCTTTCTTTCTGCTTTTTATTTATTTTGCCTTTTTATCATGATTGAGAGAATTTGTAAATAGTGTACAAAGGCATATGTCTTTGAAAATATACTTCTATTGTACAGACTCAACTTGATAAAGGTTTAGCTACCGCTGTGTGAAAGCCTTGTTAGCTGTGGATAATAATATAACACACTGAAAGAACAAATGTAAGAATAATAACACTGGAAGATACACACTTCTCTAATTACAAGTGGAAGAACCAGAATATTAGATTAAATACTCAACTGTGCTTTGATTAAATCTACATAAATTGTAAATGTCAATTTGATTTTAAAGTTTTTTTTTAATGTGACTATTTTTTATCTGAAAAGTAATCCATTACAGTTTTCTATGTTTTATACATTTCAAAAGAGAGGAAAATCCCAAAGCCTGAATAATGGAATGGAAGCATTTCAATCTAGCATAGATTCTGGCTTTAGATCCTGACATTCACTCCTGTGCAAATTACTTAGGTATGACTAGGCTGATTTTAAGCTAAAGAGTGAAGGCACTTTCACCTCCTTAATATAATCTTCAACACTCTGAAATCCTGTATAGGAAACTTTCAAACCTTCTACCATTCCATCTAAAACCTTAAAATCTCAGCAGGACTACACAACATAAATACTGCCAGGTTTATAAATGATTGCCTATCTGAATTTTTATATCTACCACTACTTTAATTTATACTGTTAGCAAATTAGGAACCCAGTTCAGTTGTCAAAAGCACTAGCAAACTATATCCAGATTGCTTTTGTGTCAGATTATACCTTTGTGCATCTAAAAATATTTTAATACTCAAGTGTTCTCACAGGAAAAAAAATCTGCTTTCTCATGAGGTTACTGAAATGCTTTAACGCATACTATGATTTTTGTTATTAGTGTGAATTTTAATGTAAAGGAGAATGCAGTGTGCTAAGTGATATGCCAGTGTTTCATTTATAAAAAAAAAATCATTCTTGATAATGCATGAAAACCTGTTTTGTAAAATAACTGCTTGGGGCGGGGGGTGTTGCCTTTAAAAATGTTTCACTACTTACCATAAAATCTATACTTAAAAACTGCATTCCCAAGACTCTTAAGGTAGTTTTTGTATCTAACTCCCTAGTTTATTGAGGGAGCATACCGATGGAGAAAAATAATTTGGTTGGTGAGAATGTCTTACTTCCCTGACTTGGTAGGGGATTAAACTCAATTGAAATTGCTGCAGACAATGTTTTGCACTACTTTATTAATAATAGACTGGGATAGGGTGATGGGGGGGTTATGTTGGAAAAATGTAGAAAAGCTGAAAGCAAGAAATATATATTTCATTCTAAAGGAAGATTCTTTAAAATTAATCTTATTTGAAGCTGATTTTTAAAGTATTTTTATTTTAGAGATATGTTGTTAAATACTATTTCTTATAATAGAACTATTTTGATGTTTATACACTATGCTTGAAAGAATGTCAATTAAATTCCCTTTCGACAGAAAGGCTTTGACCTCAATATGCTCTATTTAGCGCATCATGTTTAAAATGACATGCTTATATCTGCATACCATCACTGTTTGTTGCTAAAACATAGTACTCCATGATGTTGATGTTACTACAGAATTGTTTGGTAGTTTGTTTAAAATAACTTTCTATACTTATGTGATTTATGTTCTCTTCTGACAATGTCTACTCAGATGTCTATAAACCTGATATTCTACAACCTCAGATGTATCTAGTAGAAAGTAACCATTACAAGATGACTGATTTCTGTTTGTTTCATTGTGTCAAATTTCAGCTGTTTAGTTCAATGGTAATGTTGACTAAACATTCATTGCATTAAATACAAAGAAAATAATCTTTTCAACGTATGATCCTTACTCTCGTCTTCTTTTTATCTTTTGGTGGTTGAGACAGGAGTGATGGGGGATTGTGTGCATTATTTTATAAATGCTGCATTACTTGGAGAAATACCAATTTGGTTTGATGAAACAAGGCTTTTCCTGAAATTCTTGACTGTTGTATGAAACTCAATGCCTTTGGAGGGGTGAGTATCCAATGAACTGATAGAGGGGTAAGAACTAGCTTGAGACATGAATGTGATTCAGGGAATGTGATTCAGGGGTCTTCACTGCTTTTAGAAATATACTCACAGGTTGACAATAGATGCTATGTCTAGAAAAATATGAACTATTTCTTTCCCCTTCTCGTATAGGTGCAGTTTTGTTTTGAGACCTGCCTGACTTGTCTTGGTTTTGTGAGATTTGTGATGTAAATATTTCAGGACATCTTGAGTTTGAATTTTACTCTAACACCTACTTGGATTGCCAAATATCATATATTGTGAATTACTAAATATTTTCCTAAGCATCTTTTCTCTAAAAAGTCATTATTTGTTCATTTTCCAAACTATTATTGCCATTAATTGTGATAATTCACAGGAAATGCATTTTTGTGCTTATTTTAACTTTTTTTTTTTTTAACCCATAAAAAGAACACAGTACCTATTGCTCATTCTGGTACTGTTTCAGACTCAAAATTATAAGTTCTGTAGGGATTCAATTTTTGAATCATTCTACGCACTAGGATAATCTGAGTTGGGAGACTCTTTATTTTGCTTTGTGATATATTTATTGCACACCGATTGTATGACCCTCTCACAGGCAATAGTCAAACCAATGATAGTATATTAAAATCAAATCTGGAGATGAAGTATGGTGGGAGACAAGCTTAACTGATGTGTTTCTGAAACACATCAAGATTTTTATTCTGCATTTGAAAGTGAAGACAAATTCAGTAGTAAGCTCTTTTATTAAGGGACCACAGGAACTTCTTTCCACTTTGATATCAATAGCTAAAGGTTGCCAATGCTGTAAGTAGTCTACATTTGTATTAACAAGTACAAATGCTCTTTTTACTTGTATTAACAAGTCCCATTCAAAGGTTAATTTCAGTTAATTAACTTGTTAAATGGGCCTAAATGTTTATAATGCTTCTGAGTTTTGTGCTAAGCAATAAAAGCAAATATATATATGTATATTTAAGATGATGTTCCAGAAATACAAGTAAAAAGAGCCACCACTCTACTGACTGAAAAAGCCTCAGCTATTACTAACTTAATATCTGCTTAAATTCTGGGGCTTTAACTGTCTAGTGTGCGTGTGTGTACAGATGCTTATTCACTGCTTTGATTAAAGTATCTAGAATCAGCCTTTTCTAATTGCTCAGTCAAGTATGAATTAAAACCACATAAAAAATAATGTAATGAATTCTTACAATAGTGTAATGCCTTTCAATTATAACTCTCTTTTCTGGGATGATTGGTGTAACTCACTGAAAGAAAAAAAACACAAACATCTTTTTTTTAATGAAAATGTTACTCTCTTACACCTTAGTTTCTACATTTATACGGTGGCAATCACATTCATAAGACTTATTTCAGTTGAATCCCGGGATTTCAGAAATACCAAGGAAAGTCTCTCATTTCATAAGAATATTATGCAAATAAAAACCATTAAATGTCCAAAGTATTTACATAATATAGAACCTAACCACCATGAAAGGTTTTTTGGAATGTAATGATTCTTTTTTTGATAGAGATGTGGCCTTGCAATGTTGTCCAGGCTGATCTTGAACCCCTGGGCTCAAGCAATCTGCCTGCCTTGGCTGCCCAAAGTGCTAGGATTATAGGCATGAACCACTGCAACTGGCCTGGAATTTAATGATTCTATCTGTGCTTTGCCAAGGGGGGATCTGGGTTAAGAACCAATAAATAAATAAAAACAAAAACAAGACAAGCAAATATGTAACTGGTCACAAATGAGTTTCAATTTGGTGGGATCCACTTTCCTTCATATTCTAAACTTAAAAAAAAAAAAAAAAAAAGGAAAAATCCCAAACTGGAAAAGTGTTCTATTACATGAACAAGCAATATTTTTGTAAAGACAGGTTTTTAAATTTATATGATAGTTCTTTGCCTCCAAATGTCACTGAAAAATGGCTTCATTTAAAAAGAAATAACCAAACAGCACTGCTGTTCTGCTTTAGTCAATAAATAGTGTTACTGTATTAGACAGAAACCTTTTTTCTATATTAGACAGAAACCTGTTTTCAGGGAAAACAGAAACGGTTTAGGTAAGTAGCTGTGCCAAAGTGTTTTCAATATGTAGCAAAATTAAAATTGCAGTGTAATTCTACCATGCTATAGGTTCTTCAGTGCCCTTTCCAGAGAGTAAAGGAGTGGCCAACCTGAGTCAGTGAGTGACCCTGAAAAACCACCTTTTTTTCTCCAGAAGAATGCATTGAAAGAGATCTTTCAATGCTGAGTAGAGTTTCTCTTCTACTAGTGAGAAAAGATGATAAAATAGACTTAGTTTCATTTTCTGGTCAAAGATCAGCTTCAAAATGTCTTACGTCAACTTGAGAGATTTTATTTTGCCAGAATTCAAACAGTGCCAGGTTTGGAGGAAATGCTAAAGGAGCATACCTGGCTCCCACCACTCTTAGTGGTCTTTTGCACTCCTGGAGACACCTGTGACAACAGCCAAGTATTATTATAGAGAAAGTTGGACCACTGAAGAGTGGTGAGGGGAAGGAAATGCCAATATTTGTCCCAAGTTCAGAGATCCCTTTTATAAAGTTATTAGAGAACTGAAACCTTTTAAGTACATTCCCCATAAAAGTCTTTTTATACAGTAGTGATTACGACAATTACAAGTCTAAATCTGTGTGTAACTTGTAATACCACAACCTTGAAAAACAATTATTCGTGTCAAAAACTAATAAACACTCAGAAAAATTTACAAAGATGTGTCTTACTTCTTATTATACAGGGAGGAGTATGTTTGCTATTTTGTTGTCTTTGATATATAATAAGGGAAGCAGCTAATATCAATTTCTGACCAACCTTATACAATAATTTACCTACCTCTTACCTTTGTCCTACTAATCTTACAAACCTCAGTCTCCATTAACAGAGACCTAGCAAACTATAGTAGGGTGTTTGAAGCACATGGGAAGCCACCCAAAAAAGTCAAATACTATGCACATTTGAAGTAGTTTTTAAATAGACCGATATAGTGTTCCATTTTATTTGTTGAACATTACTTTAAAACATTCCCTCTAGGACAGTAGTTCCCAAACTTTTTGGCATCAGGGATCAGTGTCATGGAAGACAATTTTCCATGAACTGGGGGTGGGGGAATGGTAAGGATGATTCAGGCTCACTACATTTATTGTGCACTTTACTTCTATTATTATTACATTGCAATATATGATGAAATAATTATACAACTCACCATAATGCAGAATCAGTGGGAGCCCTGAGTTTGTTTTCCTGCAACTAGACAGTCCCATCTGGGAGTGATGGGAGACGGTGCTAGCATCACTGCCTCAGCTCTACCTCAGATTATCAGGCATTACATTCTCATGAGTGTGCAGCCTAGATCCCTTGCACGCACTGTTTACAATAGGGTTCACGCTCCTATGAGAATCTAATGCTGCTGCCAATCTGACAAAAGAGTCCATGTGGTAATGACAGCGATGAGGAACTGCTGTAAATAGAGATGAAGCTTTGCTCACTCACCTGCTGTGCCCCCCAGTTCCTAACAGGCCACGGACCAATACCAGTCTGTGGCCTGAAGGTCGGGCACCCCTGCTCTAGGATATACATTTTAAAAACTTCATTTTCAGAAACAAGAGAAAAACTTTTTTTTTAAATCACAAAACATCCTGCACTTGGTAATTTAATGAAGAGTCAATCACACTGACCCTATGGGTGGGGTATCAGGTATTCCACCATCCATTCTTGTGCACTGTGATGCTAATATAAAGAATGCATATGTACTCAATCGCCAGTGACTATGACAATAGCACTGAAGAGCAGGTGAAAAATCCTCCGCCCAAAGAACTAATCGATTGTTGTGCTACAGTTACACTGTAGGTATCCAGCATATTTATATAAAACAATTATAAATAAAAATATGGTTGTACTACTTATAACAGTACAAGAAGCTGCTTTCCTGGCCTTTGCAGAAGTGCAAAATAATCAATGATAGGAAACAAAAAAAATTTTTTTTTGAGTCAGGGTCTCACTGTTGCCCAGGCTGGAGTACAGTGGCACAATCATGGCTCACCACAGCCTTGAACTCTTGAGCTCAGGTAGTCCTCCTTCCTCAGCCTCCCTAGTAGCTGAGGTCACAGGCCCATGCCATCCATCACCCAGCTAATTTTTTTTTTTTTGAGTCGGAGTCTCACTGTCACCCAGGCTGGAGTACAGTGGCACGCTCACAGGAACCGCAGCTTTGACCTACTGGGCTCAGGCGATCCTTCTGCCTCAGCCTTACAAGTAGCTGGAACTACAGGCGTGCGCCACCACACCCAGCTAATTTTTTTATTTATTGTAGAGATGAGGTTTTGCTGTGTTGCCTAGGATGGTCTGGAATTACAGGGGTCAGCCACCACGGCCAGCTGGGAAAAAATTATTAACAGTGGTAAACTTCCTTCAAAGGTATTTAAAATACCATCTTTGCTAAATGTAGCTATCATTTAATCTTACCAGTTTCTCCCTGCTTTTCTGTATAGAATTGGGAAAAACCCATTTGAGAACAAGTAATTCTTCAGGTTCCATGAATACTTCTAAAATCAGAAAGTAAAGGTATGTTATCAGGACTCCACATGGTACCCATGTGAAAAAGCTTAAGCTTTAGTAATTTAAGAATACTTACTAAGGAGTAATGTCTATCAATCCCCACCTCAACATGGTTAACGCTCCACTTTGAAAAGGCTTAAAATGAAGACCAGGGAAGCAGCACATAAGTAAAATGATAAATCAGATTCACTTTCAAATAAGGGGCATATAGTATAGTGTATT